ACTAATTAGTACTAGACTAACTAGTACTGTACTAATTAGTACTAGACTAACTAGTACTATACTAATTAGTACTAGACTAATTAGCGCTAATTAGTTAAGTACTCATATAATTAGTAGTAATTAAGATGAGTACTAATTAATTAATAATGACTTAACAGTGGCATACTGTTTCTTTCAAGATGTACACAGGGAACGAGAGAAATATATAGGTTGAGATAAACTGTGGAGTCGATTCTGATTGGTCGATTTTTTCTATATGAAGTGAACCAAATTTCTTCGGCTAGCGTGTTTGGATAACTTCATTTGACCCACCCACACCCACCCACACCCACCCTCAAATTGATTTACAATGGTATTGATATTCTTTTAAGATGTGTATATAGTATTCTTGTAGATTGAAATTGAAATCATATTATTGATTATACTAATCTAAACTAATGAAGTATTGTCTCATCCAAATCCTTTCTTGATGCAAAATAGATACATGAAAATATCTAGAAAACTTGAAGATGCGGATGTAGATATGACTCGAACATATTTCGTAAATTCACATTCACATCTTCCTGTTTATTACATTGAAAACTATGATTTCTTTTCTCAGCTAAACGGTTAATTTTTCGCATAATTAACCAAGTCGGTTGATAGCATTATTACTCGGTTTAGTTATTCTATTCCGAAGATCGAAAGGAAGCGAACTTTTGCGGATCGAATTCGGTCCAGTCCCAGTTCGATTCGTTTTCTGTCTCTGATTTCAGTCATATATCATATTCAGTCTTTCTTGCTATTGAAAGAGATTTAACCGTTTTTTTCCGCATTTCTGTCAGATTCAACTAAAAATATGTCATTTTAATTTCAAAAACTTTGACTCTTCTCATAGCCACTACATATGTGGAAATTCTTCGATTATGAGGGGTGGGTGTGAATGGGTGAATGAAAGTGAGGTGTGAATGTGGCATAAATACAAGACACCCACCCACACCCATCCTCATCCTCTAGTCCAGCGAGGCCAGCGGCTGACGTGTTACTTATTTGTAGAAGTTGTTTCATAAACAGTATTTCTTGTTTATTCACTGAATGAAAAAAGTCGATCGTAATCATATCGTTATCAAATACGCCTTGAAGGTTAAATTTTCAACAGTCATTATCGAATGAGCTCCGATAGTCTGAAATTTGTTGTGACGGATCAGACTGTAACTTTTGCCATATATAGACTAAATACCTCTCATTCTCACCCTCTTCGATTTATTATTGATTGTCTACCATCCTCGCTTTCATTCTCCGCTCACACTAAAGCATATGACAATTCGCTTTTGTTTTAAGAATATTTACTTTTCGGTGCTCTATTGAATAATAATTCGAAAACTTTAATTCAAGAATTTATTTATTTGTGTAAATAAGGAAATAAAAAATAAAAGAAATTAGTTATATCTTGCTATTGCTTGTTCTTACTCTTTTTCTTCGATTTTAAACGTTTTTTATTCCCAAAAGCCAACAACTGGCGTTAACGACGTAACGAGCTGTGCCTGCTGAATCCCATTTATAGTACAGTTTCGTAAAACCACAATCTAAGCATAATCGTCCTTCTGTTGACGTCGAAGGTGGATCATACACAGCAATACTAGAATTGCCATCGGTAGCTGTTGCTATAGTGACAAATATCGTACGACTTGCTGGTGTTGAATATACTGGATGACATATGGTGACACCCTCGTATAAATTTGTGATTCCGGTAAAAATTTCATGCTGACCAAAATTTCCGATTTGCTGATAACCGTTTTCTTTATATGTCATTGTTTTGTCACCATAATAGTCTCCTTCGACAGTAATACCAAATTTTGTTCTAAGAAACTCAGATGCATGACATACGTATGGTGTATTATCGGCGAATAAAAAAATAGCACCACCAGCTGAATGAAAAGCCGTTAAAGCTGAAATAAATTTCGAATTTTGAATTTGATTAGAACTGATAATCCATGCGATTTGATAACGATTTGAAGCAAGTTCTGTTATACATTCATCCTCAGATTTTACAGGTTTCACTTGGAATCCTTTGATCTTCAGTGCATCAATTGGCTTCTGCATGTCAATGTAACAAAACTGTCCAATTAAAATATTAAATCCCATAAATGCTCCATCTCGACCCAAATCGTATTCTCTTCCTAGTGGATTACCGTACCGATCATATCCATTAGCATCAATAATATTGCTTTTGCCTGCGACCTCGTTATATGGTTGCAATGGTGGTGAAGTAGTAGATGATGATGTACATTGTTTAACTGTTCTTTTCTTAGATGATGTACGTTGTTTAACTGTTCTTTTCTTCTTTTTAGTGTACTTTTTCCTTACAGCACTTGATATAACTGTTCTCGTTGTATTTTGTGATGGCAGTTGACGTGCTAACGTAGCACGAGTAATGGCTACCATTATCTGATTGACAATGAATTAAACAAGTTAGAATGAATTATAAAATGAATAACCTCAAAGCAACCGTTTTTAAAAAGTCGATATGAGAAAAGTCAGGCACCAGGAGAAATATATATCCCGGCGATTGCACCACTTGATAGTTCTGGATTATATTAATAATTAATCTACTTTTAGAATGAATTGTACAACATCTGCGAAATAAAGCGACAGTTTATATAGTAAGGATGTGGTATGACTATTGTGCAATAAGTAATTTCACAATACTAGTGAATTATTGTGCAATAAGTAATGTCACAACAGTGGCGTAACTTTTTCTTTTCCTATAGTTTATTGTTGTCCAAAAAAATTAAGTTAACTTAATATTAACAAATTGCGAAAAAAAACCATTTTTCTTTACCGACATATATAGAAAATGACAATATCAAACATGTTAAAACAAAAGAGAACACAAAATAACTTCATAGTTCGGTTTACAATCGGTTAATCTCTGTTTCTTCCTATTACTTGTTAAGACACAAATATCTCTAGGAAAAAAATCGAAATATTTCATGTTGTCGTTTTAAATAGAGCAATAATCTAGAAAATAATATATATATATGAATTACTCTTTAAAGAGTATCACCTAAATACTCAAATCAAAGGAATTAGGGTAGAAGTATGTACTTACATATAAAATCTCTCAAATCATTCTTCGATGTACAGTAATA